TTCGTGAGAAACCTCCACACTGCCTTCCAAAGTGGCCGCTTCCCCACCCCGTTGGCTTCCCAGCAGCAATGCAGGAGGTTCCAGTTGTGCCACATCCCTGTGCCCCGACCTGGAATCCAACCGCGACCTCTGGGTGCAGGGACCACGCTCCTCCAATTGAGTCACACCAGTGGCGTCTCGCTTTGATGCGCAGCTCCCTGGTGACTGATGGCGTGGAGCACCTTTCCACGTGCCTCTCTGCTCTTTGGGATTCTTCTTCGGTGACTGTTGAGACCGTTGGCTCATCTTTAGTTGAGTTGTTTGCCTTTTTATTGCGGGTTTAAGAGTTCCCTGTGTATTTTGAATACCAGTCCTCTATCACGTATGCATTTTGCAAAGACTTTCCCCTAGGCTGTGGTTTGTCTTTTCCTTCTCTCAGTGGTGGTGTTTGCAGAGCAAACATTTAGTTTTGATACAGTCCAGTATGTCATTTTATTTTTCATGGACCGTGCTTTTCCTGTTGTGTTTTTTTAAAATACATTTTTTATTGATTTCAGAGAGGGCAAGGGAGAGGGAGAGAGAGACAGAAACATCAATGATGACAGAGAATCATTGATTGGCTGCCTCCTGCACGCTCCACACTGGGGATCGAGCCCGCCACCTGGGCATGTGGCCTGAATGGAGAATTGAACCGTGATCTCCTGGTTCATGGATTGTTTTCAAAAAGCTCTTTATCTACCACCACCCAGCGCACTCGCGTGCGTGCGCGCATACACACACACACACACACACACACACACACACACACACACTTTTTAAAAATATATATATTTTATTGATCTTTTGCAGAGAGGAAGAGAGAGGGATAGAGTTAGAAACATCGATGAGAAACATCGATCAGCTGCCTCTTGCACACCCCTTACTGGGGATGTGCCTGCAACCAAGGTACATGTCCTTGATCGGAATCAAACCTGGGACCCTTCAGTCTGCAGGGTGACGCTCTATCCACTGAGCCAAATCGGCCAGGACTGCGCACATACATCTTGAAGTTCACATCTATAATATTTCAATAGATATTTAAATAGCTGTGGGGGGCCCTAGTGGGTTTGGCTCAGTGGACAGAGTGTCGGCCTGCAGACCAAAGCATTTTGGATTCAATCCTGGTCAAGGGCATCTATCTCAGCTGTGGGCTCTGCCCTCGCCCAGGCCCTGGTCAGGGCACACGAGGAAGTAACCAATCAATGTGTTTCTTTCACATTGATATTTTTCTCTGTCTTTCCCCCTCTCTTCTACTCTCTCTAAAAATCAATGGGCCGAAACCGGTTTGGCTCATGGATAGAGAGTCGGCCTACGGACTGAAAGGTCCTGGGTTCGATTCCAGTCAAGGGCATGTACCTTGGTTGCGGCACATCCCCACTAGGGGGTGTGCAAGAGGCAGCTGATGGATGTTTCTAACTCTCTATCCCTCTCTCTTCCTCTCTGTAAAAAAAACAATAAAATATATTAAAAAATATTTAAAAAAATAAAAGTCAATGGAAAAATATCCTTGGGTGGTGTCATTTCTGGTGTATTGCAAATACTGACTTAAAACAAAAATTTTGGAATCACTTTTTATAGGAGCCCAATGACATCAAAACCACTTGTAAACTGGTACTGTGTCCAAATCTGCCGGCTGGCTCTTCTCTCCCAGGCTCCCTTTGGGAGGTCCCTTTAATTCCTGCCTCCTCTTTTCATCTGCAGCCCCTCAGAGAGGTCTCCACGTGCCATCTCTCTGCCTGCGGCAGTCTTCTGTTATTTCTCCATCACTTCTCTGAAACACACATGTATATGTATATATTACATTTCTTCTTATAACCCATGACCATGGGGCTCTGATATAGATTATCGATTTCAGAAAGGAAGGGAGATCAAGAGAGAGGGAGAGAGAGAGAGAGAGAGGGAGAGAGAGAGAGAGAGAGAGAGAGAGAGAGAGAGAGAGAGAGAGACATCAATGATGAAAATCACTGATCCGTGCCTCCTGGAGATCTGGCTACAACTTGGGCACATGGCCTGACTGGGAATGGAACGGTGACCTCTGGGTTCATAGGTGGATGCTCAACCACTGGGCCATGCTGGCTGGGCTGATCATGTTTCTTCTGCATAACCATCAAACAAACAAGCAAGATGGGCTTGTCTGTGCAAACAGGACTCACTGCCAGTGTGGATGGGGCTCGCTGTCAGTGCCATTCCTCTTTACTCTTCTCAGGTGTACGCCGAGGAAACCCCGTTCGCAGGAAGAGCAGTTGGGATGAGGCCCATGTTGCGGAGTGCTGGGGCCCTTGGGGCCTTCTAGAATGAATTGGGAGGGGCCATTAAAAAAGGGGCGGGGACTAGAACTGGAGGGGTCCTTCTCAGACTTACAGATTTTTGGACAGAGTACATGTGGGAGTTGTGATCTGGGAAGATGATTAAAAAAAAAAACCCAAAAAAAACAACAACACAGAAAAACAACCTTTGCCTGCCTGGCCGGTGGTTGAATGGCAACCTATGAACCAGGAGGTCACGGTTCAATTCCTGGTCAGAACATGTGCCTGGGTTGCAGGCTCCACCCCCAGTGTGGGGTGTGCAGGAGGCAGCCAATCAATGACTTTCTGTCATCATTGATGTTCCTATCTCTCTCTCTCTCCTCCTTCTCTGAAATCAATAAAAATGCATTAAAACAAAACAAAACAAAAATAATAACACAAAAGAACAAACACACCTCTGTATGCCCCATGATTCCTCTCAAAGACTTTGTGCCTTGCCAGGGGCTTACAAATTCCTATGAAGACAGATTCAGCATCTCTCCTGGACCCTGTGATGCAATACAGCCTGCAGCTCTGGCTCGTGTGGCCGCACTCCTCTGTCGAGAGCCAGGACACTCACTCCCTATCCCTGGAGAGGCCTGGACCCCCTGGGAAGTGCGCCAGAACCCATGGGACAGAGTGGGAGGAACTCACTAGTTGCTGAAGGATTGAAGTTGGTCAGCCAGCACTCATTCCCTGAGCACATTCCCTGGGTGGCTGGGAGGGTCAGCGGACACATTTTGAGGGAGTGGAAGTCCTGGTGAGGAAAAAAGAAGGGGATGGAAGCTCTGAAGACAGGGCTGCGGGACGGGGCAGGGCAGGCCTGTGTGGAGAGGTGACCTTTGAGCTGAGACCCGGTGGAGTGAGGGAGCAAACCAGCCAGCTATTTGAGTGAACGGCATTTGGGGCAGAGAGGCAGTGAGTGAAAGGCCTGGAGCAGGTGCGTGTGAGTGTGTCTGAGAGCCACGTATGGTACACACCCATGCGCGGTGTTTTGGGGGGGCCAGTTAGGAAGCCAGTGTGGCTGGAGTTGGCTGGAGCTGCTTGGGCAAAGGGGACAGTGGGTGGAGAGGGGCCAGAGCAGTGATGGGAAAAGGGGACCCATCAGAGTCCTTAGGCCATGCCCTGGTTGGTTTGGCTCAGTGGATAGAGCATCAGTCCGGACTAACCGGTCCTGGATTTGATTTTAGTCAAGGGCTTGTACCTTGGTTGCAGGCTGGAGCCCCAGCATTGGTTGGGGCATATGCGGGAGGCAACCAATTAATGTGTCTCTCTTACATCAATGTTTTTCTCTCTCGTCTCTTCCCCTCCACACTCTCTAAAAATCAATGGAGCCCGGCTGGTGTGGCTCAGTGGGTGTGCATGGATCTATGAACCAGGAGGTCACTGTTCAATTCCCAGTCAGGGCACATGCCCAGTTTCCATTCCCCAGTAGGGGGCGTGCAGGAGGCAGCCAATCAATGATTCTCTCTCATTATTGATGTTTCTTTCTCCCTCTCCCCTCCTCTCTGAAATCAATAAAAATATATTTTTAAAAAATCAATGAAAAAATATCCTCAGGTGAGGATTCACAGAGTGCTTGGGCCGCGAGGACTCAGGCTTTGACTTGGAGTGACGTGGGAAGCCCAGGGGTGACATGAGCTCAATGCAGGGAGTGCTCTGGCCGCTGGGTGGGGAGGAGACCGGGGTAGGAGAGGTTAAGGCTGGGTTCAGGGGGCGGAGGGAGCCCAGGGAGGAGGCCATGGTTGTCCAACTGAGTGCCGATGAGGCTTAGGCAAGGGGTGGGGGGCAGCAGTGGCAGTGGCAGGGCTGGGCTAGGGAGAGAGACTGCTCTGGCCCACTTGGCCTGAGAAGGAGCAGAGACCCCAAGGTTCACAGTCATGCCAGCGTGCGCAGGTGAGGAGATTTCTGGATGGAGGACGTTGGCCGTGCAAAGGCCCTGGGGCCGGCCCAGCCAGGCCGCCAGGGGGCCGGAGCCGGTGGGAACCGGCATGAATGACCAGGGAGGGAGGTGGCAGCCAGCGGCGGTAGATTGCCTTACAAGGTGCCCTGCAGCGCCGCCACCGCGTGCTCGGCCACCAGCATTGGGCGGGAGCGGGAGCGCGCGGTGGGGGCGGGGCCGGCGGGCGGGCGGGCGGGGGGCTCTGCGCTGCGGCCACTGCGGGAGGCGTCGCTGCGGCTCCCGATCCAGGTCGGTACCGGGCGCTCCCAGGCGGGGGCGTGCGGGGTCCCGCGCCGCAGTCCTCGCCCGCCGCCCCCGCGTGCCCCCGCGCACACCTGTCATAGCCAGCGCGCCCCCAGCCCGAACGCGCGCTGCCCACGCAGCTCCGGACGCGGGAGGCCCAGGCTGCGGAGTCCCTCCCGCCCTGCGGCGCCGGGCAGCCGCGTGGGTGGCCGGAGCGGTGGCAGGCGGCTGTGCGCTGGGGTCGCAGGTGCATCTCGGGCGGGCTGCTGGCCTGGGTGTCGTGTGGCTGTGGGCGCTGAGCGATGGGTGGCAAGTCCGGGCCTGGGGGCGAGGGAGGGCTGTTTGGGTGCTGCGGATGGGGGTGGGCTCGGAGGGGCGGGGGTGGGGGTGCATGGAGCCTTCTGGAAGGCGGCTCATTGCGGCTGGCTAGGTTGTGTGGCGGCAGAGAGCGGGTGTCTGGGCGCCATCGCCATCGCCATTGGGGTGGGGGGCGTTGGGGATCGCAGCGGCGTATGGGGGGGGGGAGGGAGGACGGGGTGTATGCGGTGGTCTCGCTGGGAAGCATCCACTTGGGCGGTGGGGGAAGGGCGGGATGTAGGGGCTGGGGGAGGGTGTAGGGACCTGACGGGACATGTGTTCTTGAATGGGGCTGTCGCTGAGGGTGGTTGAAGCACTTTGCTGGGCTTGGGGTGGGGGGCCTCCCTCCAATTCTCCCTTGCCCCCCCTCCCCCGCCCAGACATGTTGCTGCTCAAGAAACAGACGGAGGACATCAGCAGCGTCTATGAGATCCGCGAGAAGCTGGGCTCGTGAGTGTGGCTGCCAATGTGTTGTGTGTGCATGAGTGTCAGCGCGTGTGCGTCAGAGACTGTGTGGGCGTGTGTGCGTGGGATGAATGGCCTGGGATGGAGAGGGCCTCCTTGTCTGCATCAGCTTGTGGGGGGGCTTCCTCCTCCCCCCTCTCCTCTCCCCCCCCCCCTTTCCTCTCCTCCTCTGCCTCTGCCTCTCCATCTTGCCCTCTCCCTCCCTGCCTCCACTGTCTTCGCGGCAGGGGTGCCTTCTCCGAGGTGGTGCTGGCCCAGGAGCGGGGCTCCTCGCACCTTGTGGCTCTGAAATGCATCTCCAAGAAGGCCCTTCGAGGCAAGGAGGCCCTGGTGGAGAATGAGATCGCGGTGCTCCGCAGGTGCGTGCCTGGCCCTGGCTGCCAGGCTGAAAGCCTGGGGGGCAGTGCCCTGGGGTGGAGGGCGCTGCCTCCTCTGTGCCCCTTGCAGGATTGGGCAGGGGCAGCTATGGTAGGGAAGGGGGCAGAGGTGGAAGGAAGCACCCCTAGGCCCCGAGGCTAGAGAGGTTGCAGTGGCTTACAAGGTTTTTTTTAAAAAAATAATAATATATTTTTTATTGATTTCAGGGAGGAAGGGAGAGAGAGAGAGAGAGAAGCATCAATGATAAGAGAAACATCAGTCATTGATCGGCTGCCTCCTGCACGTCCCACAGGGACGGAGCCCACAACCAGGCCATGTGCCCTGACCAGGAATCGAACCGAGACCTCTTGGTTCATAGGTCAATGCTCAATCACTGAGCCACGCCGGCTGGGCCAAGGGCTTTTTAAAAAAATATATTTTTATTGACTTCAAAGAGGAAGGGAGAGGGAGAGAGATAGAAATATCAATGATGAGAGAGTCATTGATTGGCTGCCTCCTGTATGCCCCCTACTGAGGCTTGAGCACAAAACCCGGACATGTGCTTTGACTGGAATCGAACACGGGACCCTTCAGGTCACAGGCTGATGCTCTACCCACTGCACCAAACCAGCTAGGGCAGGGTTGTTGTTGTTTTTAAAAAAATATTTTTATTGATTTCAGAGAGAGGGAGAGAGATATAGAAACATTGATGAGAGAATCATTGATCAGCTGCTGCCTCCTGCCCGTTCCACACGGGATGGAGCTCATAACGCGGGCATGTGCCCTGACTGGGAATCGAACCGTGACCTCCTATGCTCAACCACTGAGCCACACTGGCTGGGCTGCAAGGGCTTTTTCTTGCTGTTGCAGGGTCAGCCACCCCAACATCGTGGCTCTGGAGGACGTCCACGAGAGCCCCTCCCACCTCTACCTGGCCATGGAGCTGTGAGGAGGGCAGGGCGGGCTGGGGGCTGGGTGGGGAGTGGGAGCTGAGGGGCCTGGCTCCAACCAGCACCGGCTCCTCCCAGGGTGACAGGGGGCGAGCTGTTCGACCGCATCATGGAACGTGGCTCCTACACGGAGAAGGATGCCAGCCACCTGGTGGGCCAGGTCCTGGGCGCTGTCTCCTACTTGCACAGCTTGGGCATCGTGCACCGCGACCTCAAGGTGCCTGCCCTCTCACCCCCTTGCCCGGGCCTTACCCAGCCTCCTGTGCGCCAAGGGTCTTGGGGGGGGGACTTAAGGGGGCCCAGCCCCTGGTCGCAGCCCCCAGGACCACGCCAGGGCTGACCTCTGACCTCCCATGTGTCCTAGCCCGAAAACCTCCTCTATGCCACGCCGTTCGAGGACTCCAAGATCATGGTCTCTGACTTCGGCCTGTCCAAGATTCAGGCTGGCAACATGTTGGGCACAGCCTGTGGGACCCCAGGATATGTGGGTATGCGAGGGGGACTCCCTGAGGAGGCTGGGGGATCCTGTGGGAGCTGTGGTGCGCCGGGCAGGGCAGGTAGCTGGCCCGGGCGACTAGGCGGAGCCAGGCGGTGCTGAAGGCTGGTGTGTGCGTGCGCGGGTGTGCGTCTGTCTGTCTCTGGCCCCCAGCCCCGGAGCTCTTGGAGCAGAAACCCTACGGGAAGGCCGTAGATGTGTGGGCCCTGGGTGTCATCTCCTACATCCTGTGAGTGACCGCTGGGAAGGCTCTTCTTCTGCCCGCCCGCCCCCCTGCTGGGTTGGGGAGGGTTGGGCAGCTGGGTGATTTCTCTGTGGGTGCCAGGCTGTGTGGCTACCCTCCCTTCTACGACGAGAGCGACCCCGAGCTCTTCAGCCAGATCCTGAGGGCCAGCTACGAGTTTGACTCGCCCTTTTGGGATGACATCTCTGAATCAGGTGAGCTGGAGGCTGGCCCCGAGCTCAGGGAGGGGAGGAGGCGCGGGGAGAGGAATTGGGGAGGGGGGGGAGCTGGGCTGACCTGGCCTCCCTGCTCCAGCCAAAGACTTCATCCGGCACCTTCTGGAGCGAGACCCGCAGAAGAGGTTCACGTGCCAGCAGGCCTTGCAGCATCTTTGGTGAGTAGAACCCCTGCCAAGCTGACCCTCAGAACCTCCCACCCCCACCCCCCACTGACCCCTGGCCTCCTGCTAGGATCTCTGGAGATGCTGCCTTTGACAAAGACATCCTGGGCTCGGTCAGCGAGCAGATCCAGAAGAATTTTGCCCGGAACCACTGGAAGGTCAGTATGGGTGGGGCCATGGACCTTTTTGGCTCCAGGCTGCCTATCCCTCAGCCTCAGGGGGAGGCCGCCAGTAGCCCTTTGATCCTTGAAATCTCAGGGGTCAGGGCCGGTCATAGCCTGGTACCCCTCTCTCCCTGCAGCGAGCATTCAATGCCACCTCTTTCCTGCGCCACATCCGGAAGCTGGGGCAGAGCCCGGAGGGGGAGGAGGGCTCAGAGCGGAGGATGGCCCGCCACAGCCACCCCGGCCTCGGGGCCGGCCAGCCCTCCAACTGGTGATGCCCAGGTAGGTGAGGGTGGGCCCTGCACCCCCTAAGAGGAGGTGGTTCCTGGGTGAGCTTAGAGGGTGTAGCGCCCCGTGTGGCCAAGAGCTAAGCGGGGTGGACCCCAGAGAGCAGAGGGCTGAGGGTAGAGGGCACAGATGGAAGGGAGGATCGGTCCAGGGTTCCGGGAGGAGCAGACGAGAGAGGGGCCAGCAGGGGCTGGGGACCCCGGGCACCGTGAGGATGCGAGAGGGGCCCAGTGTCACGACCCAGTGGGCTCCATCCACAGCTGAGAGCCTTGACTGGGAGCCGGGCACAGTGCGGGTTGGGGTGCGGGCTGGGGTGTGGGCTGGGGTGCTTCCTGACTGTTCCTTTCCTTGTGTGCTTCTCTCTCTCCCTCCATCCCTGACAGATGCTGAGGCTGAGTGCACTGACCCCCCGATTCTCTTCCCATGGATCCTCTCAGTCCTCTCCCCCATCCCCGCCTCCTGGGGCTGGCCTCTGGTTGGAGAGTTTGAGATGTGCGTGGCACGTGGTACTCGGGTGGGAGGGGGGCACCCCTCAGGCTCTGCCCTTGCCCAGGGGCTGGCGGGGCATGTCCGCAGGGGCTCCCCTCCCCTGTTGCTGCCACAACCCCTCTAGACGCTGACGAGGCTCCAGGGGCTCCTTCCTGCACGCTGTTCTGCGCTTCGCTGACTGTGGGTGGTCCCGCTTGTGTCGTGGCCTCCGGCTCCCCTCCGGTTTCCCCCAAATCAATAAAGACAGACAGAGCAAAGGGCCTGGGGTCGGTGATGAACTGCAGGGAAGGGGAAGGGAAAGGGGCAGGGATGGAGGAAGAGGGAGGAGATGGGCATCACCTGTGGGAAAGACTGCCCACTGCCACCCACACGTCTGCTCCCTTGGATCATGGCACACAAACTCCCGGTGGTCTGAGAACTTTCTGTCCCCGCCCTTCCCCCAAAGGGGGGATAGCAGCTCTGCCACCCTGGAGGTGGGCCTGCATATAGCTCTGGTTGCCAGCAGAGGGGGCTGGTGGGAGGCCCCATGGGAACCCAAGTCTCCAGGACTCCAGAAGTGGGCTGCAAGTGCCCCTGTTGTTCAGGGCCAGTCCAGGAAGGGCTCACAGGCGAGTGAAGGTCTATAGCCTGGGGTGGGAGCGGGGTGAAGGGGGGGCGCCCAGAGTCTCAGCCTGCCGCCTCCAACATCTCCCCACTTTCTGTCCCCCCAGTATTTCCAGCACACACTTTCCTATGGGGAAGGCTAGTGTCAGAGAGTGCAGGGGAGCCTCTTGGCCAGGAGAGGGCGCCACCGGGCCGCAATCGCCGTGCTGTGCTGAGCTGAGCTTTGGAACCCATGGGCTCCAGGCCTGGGGGAACCCAGGCTGGGCTGGTTATGGTGGCCGGTCTTCTGGTCTGCATGGCCCCTGCCCCTTGCGCCCCAATTCTGGAGGGGCCCAAGCTTCTCCTGGACCCAATAGGCCCTGCTTCTGTGCCCACCAGGGGAAGACCCCCTAGGCCCACACTTCAGTCCCAGCCGGAGCAGAGATAGCACCCTCAGAGTTTGGGGCCAGCTGGCCACTCCTTCCTCCCCACTGGGACTCCTGCCACCCCCACCGCGGAGCGAGACCTTCTGTGGGCCTTTAGGACCTGAAGGGGAGCAATGACACCCAAAGCAGGGCTGGCCTGGGTCTCAGGGCCGGGGGCTGGAGCAGGATTTGGGGTTGGAAACGGGGCCTGGCTTCCCTTGAGGAGAGCTGCTGGGGGTGATTCCCAGGCCCACAAGCCCCTCTGCGGCCTTCTGCTCCCAGAGTCCTTCTGCCACCTTCCTCCTCCACATTGCCCACGCACCCCTCCCCCCCACAGGTCCCTGAGCTGAGCAAGCCTAGAGGGGGTGGGCAGCTTCCTCCTCTGTCCCCATGGCCAGTTCTGGGCCACCCTTCACTCCAGGCTCTGGGGTCATACAAGCCAGGGGACCTCAGGCAGCCAGCGCCACGGCTAGGTCTCAACAACTTGGCCTGTTCACTTCCGACGGACCTGTTCAGCCTCTCCTTAGCTCTCCATCCGGGGCCCTGGCATCTGTCCCGCCACCTCAGACATCACCAGCGTCCCTTCGCTGGCTCCCCTTCTTTCCAGTTCACACGAGACCCTGCGACACCGGCTCATTCTCCTTTTGTCTGTCAAATATTGTCCGGGCATCTACGCCTGTGCCCGCCGGTCATGGAGCCCCCGTGGAGGGATGAGCTTGCTTGGATGATAGGGATGATGTGCGTGGGAAAGCCGCATGCTGGCTGCTCAGGAGCAGGTTCGAGCCAGCCTTCGAGAAGGAATCGCAAACCTTCAGAGAGAGCCAGCTCCTCAGCCCAGGCCGGCTGCCAGGTCACTGCTGCGGAATTGGGCCCCAGCTTTGGCTGCCCTGACAGGCTGCAGTTTGGCCTGTGGCCAGCAGGTGGCACCATGGTCACATCCATCACCCACCCCCGTTCCTTAGGTGTGGGGGGCAGCTGCTCAATACCGGCCCTCTCCTCTACCCCCACCCCCTAAGAACTGCCCCAGAAAGCCCTCACTTGGGGCAGAGGTTCTGCCTCCCCCATCGCGGTGCTGGAAGAGAGTGGGACCCTTCCTTCATTCCTCTGAGTCCTTTGGGGGCGGGGGCGCTAGTTTGGGGGCGGGGGCGCTAGTTTGTGAGAGGGAAGCTTTGGGTCAGCAAGGCTGTGGGATGAGGCCTGGGTGAGAGAAAGGACTGGTTCTGCCAAAGGCAAGAGATAGGGGGTGGGATAAAGAGGGTGCTGGGGGCCCTAACCTGTTTGGCTCAGTGGATAGAGCGTCAGCCTGCAGACTGAAGGGTCCCAGGTTCGATTCCTGTTAAGGGCATGTACCTTGGTTGTGGGCACATTCCTGGTGGGGGATGAGCAGGAGGCAGCTGATCAATGTTTCTAACTCTCTACCCCTCTCCGTAAAAAGTCAATAAAAATATATTTTTTTTAAAAATGAAAAAGAGAGGGTGCTGGGGGCCTGGCCAGTGTTGCTCAGTGGTTGAGCGTCAACCTATGAACCTGGTGGCTATGCTTTGATCCCCGGTCAGAGCACATGCCTAGGTTTCGGGCTTGATCCCCAGTGGGGGCCTTGCAGGAGGCAGCCGATCAATGATTAGCTCATCATTGATGTTTCTCTCCCTCTCCCTCTCCCTTTTTCTCAGAAATAAAAATATTATAAAAGAGGGATCTGGGGTGGGGTGGGGGGGGAATGTGTGTCCTGTGAGATCAATCACACTCAGGAAGCAGCAGGTGCTCAGGCATGAGGCTGGCTACTGAGGGGATCAGAACCTAGCAGTTTCCTCCTCTGTGTTACCCCGTCGGGGGAAAGGAGGGGGTTGTAGCTGGGAGTGCCCTTATGCCGGAAAACTCGGTGCTGTGGTTCAGAAGCAGGGCCCGGCAGGTTGGCCTTCTTGGGCACTGGGGACCAGACCAGAATTGAGGAGGGAGCCTTGTGGGTGTCCTGAGAGGAAGCTGTCCCCCCTCATTCCGGACCACACAGGGTTGGCCACACTGCTTTGTAGCAAACCTGCGGGTGGTAGGTGTTCTGAGGAGGCTCAACCTGGGGGGGGGGGGCACACTGGGGGGAGGGGCAAATGAAGGAGAGGCGTCTGGGATGGCCCATGGGTTTCTGGGTGGATTGTGGAACCATTCACAAGAGGGGTTCACCTGGGGTGGCTTTGGGGAGAGACAATGGGACTGGTTTTGGACATGGCGAGTTGGAGGTGTCTGAAGTGGAAGTAAAGCGCCCTAGCCGGTTTAGTTCAGTGGATAGAGCATCGGCCCATGGACTGAAGCGTCCGGGGTTCGATTCAGGTCAAGGGCACGTACCTCGGTTGCAGGCTCCATCCCTGGGCCGGGTCAGGGCACTTGCGGGAGGCAACCAATCAATGTGTCTCTCTCACATCAATGTTTCTCTCTTTGTGTCTTTCCCCATCCCTTCCTAAAAGCCAATGGGAGCTGAAACTGGTTTGGCTCTGTGGATAGAGCATCGGTCTGGGGACTAAAGGGTCCCAGGTTTGACTCCGGTTAAGGGCATGTACCTTGGCTGCAGGCACATCCTCCGTGGGGGGTGTGCAGGAGGCAGCTGGTCGATGTTTCTTTCTCATCGATGTTTCTAGCTCTCTCTCCCTTCCTCTCTGTAAAAAACCAATAAAATACATTTAAACCAATCTTTATTGTTGAAAGTTATCGCCCTAACTGGTTTGGCTCAGTGGATAGAGCATCAGCCTGCGGACTCAGGGGTCCCAGGTTCGATTCCGGTCAAGGGAATGTATCGATACCTTGGTTGCGGGCACATCCCCAGTAGGAGGTGTGCAGGAGGCAGCTGATCAATGTTTCTCCCTCATCGATGTTTCTAATTCTCTATCCTTCCTCTCCCTTCCTCTCTGCAAAAAATCAATAAAAATATATTTTTTAAAAAAACCAACAAAATATTTAAAAATGTAAAAATTCAACTTGAAATGGAATCTGGGAGGTCTTTCTGTAGTGGTGGAGGTGGGGCACACTATCTGAGCCCTAGAAAGATCCCTCTGGGGCTCAATGTGAGGGATGGCTGGGACAGGGTGAGTGGTGGGTATACATGTGTGTGGGTCAAGTGGGGAGCAAGGCAGGAGATGCAGAGAGCCTGTGCCCAGGCTGCTGAAGTGGGATGGGAAAGCCGGAGATGGGTCATGGTGATCTGAAGGGGGGGGGCGTGTAAGGGAGTTGAGGATGCCCCCCTCCCACCGCCCCAGAACTCAGGAAGAAATAGGCCTATTCAGGACCCCACGAAGGGGCCACGCCAGGCTTCCTGTCTCCACGCTAAGCCGAGTTCCTTCTTGCCAGGTACGTTCTCTGCCCACCCCCAGCTCTGTCCAGACCCCACTGTCTCCTCTCCTGTCTTCTCAGCTGGAATGTTTGGGAAATAAACAGCCAGGTTCCCTGATGGAGGCCTGTTGTGAGCCTTCGCTGGAGAGCAGCCTGCATGTGAGCTTTCTCCAGGG